TTGAAAAGATTCCACATACTTCTTTAAGGCAGCTTTGTTTTGACTTATAGGAGATTTGGTCACTTTTTCATTGCGGATGTTGTCAACAAACCAACCAATGTAGCTAGGAGCGTTTTCCAGCATCCATCTGAAGGACTGGCCACGATATTTTCCAAACTGGAGCAAGTACTCTCCTTGTACATCAAGTTCATTTTGAACATTCCCTTTTCTCTTCTTAACAGTTTCAATAGCAAGTTTTTTGACCTGAACGTAATAGTGCTGTGATAACAAAGATTAGGTTGTTAAGTTGAGCAATGGAATAAAAGACCCTTCAGGGTAAGTCTTTCTAAAACCAAAGGAATACGAAGAAACTTTCATCACTAAATGAACAAGTATTTTTTATTAAGTCATAACTATGAACTAAATATGAATTCGTTTCTTAATCGAGTATCTTAGCGTAGGATAGGTTTTTATTAACGTCTGATTGTAACATCGCTAAGTTTTATTATCACCATAATTTATAAGCCACAAGCAATTCAATTTTACTGTAATCGTCGCAAAACAAGATAAGATTCCGTCTTAGCGGCTTCGATACGCACAGGGTTAATATACAAGGCTTATATCACGAGGTTACAGATAAATAAACCAACTAAGCGATTTTCCGTCGATCGAAAATACCATTATGCATGAGTAGTTCGGGCTATTTCTCACTGTTCGCTTGTTTTTTCAATTTTTTTCTTTATCAGGCGACCTGAAGTAGAATATGACCTGAACTTGACGTGACTTGTATTTATATGACCTGAACTTTCGCCTCGCCGCCTCAATATCGGTAAGAACAAATCGGTCTTAAACTTTTAATTGCTTTGTTTGTGTTTAAGTCCTCAGAGTATATAATTAAGAGCGCAATGAAGCAGTCGGTCTTAATTGATGTTTTACTAAACAAAACAAAAGCGATAAGCCGTGCCGGTTAGGACTTTAACAATTGGCTTTTTGAAATTTTAATCTAACAATTATCAATTGTTTAAGCCTACCTCTTCGGGAAGTATGCTAATGACCTGGTCCTACTGCTCCGAATTCCTCTTGAACACCTCGTTCGCTTCTTTCGTGTAGTTAAGCACCAAATCCCCATTGCTGAAACGTCTAAACTTCGGAATTCTCGCTATAGCTGAAGCTATAAACCGAAAGAAAAACCTCAAAGGCAAACGACAGAAACGAAAACAATCGAGCGCGTACGTCTCTTCTACAAATATTTTCTGGCTGAAAAAGTTCTAAATATAAATTATATCTTATAATACAGATTAGAACGCTCAAAGTTTTCGCTGATCTCTCTCTCTTTCAATGAATTAGAATCCTCCCTTACGAGATAGGGAACAATCTATTATAGATTTATTGTAGTTGTTAGCTCAAATTGACCAATTGCATCCACTCGTTTGGTTAATTGAAATCGAGTTGATGTGATTGGTCAGCTTAATGGATATCCAGTGGATGTGATTGGTCAAAGATTTCTAATTCAGTGGATGTGATTGGCTTACTCTACAGAGAACATTGGCCTGACCGCAGTGGTCGTGACTAACTTCTTGTCACGCAACGTTTAGTCTGTTTTCATGTGGAACCAAAGGCGCTTGCGGCCCTTGATCGTGGTTAAAAGTGGTCACAAAATAGTGGTTAAATTTTAATATGTGCACGTCTAATTTTGATTAAAACATCCGATAATTTTTCACCCAACGAAAACGTTCAATACAATTTCGATGCAACAGCGATAGCGTGACATTTTAACCTCGATGAAATTGATTTTAATATGTTTAATGTTTAATTTTTGACTCGTAACTTGAGTCTGAAATAAGGTTTTCAATACGCCTTTACTTTAATCTGCAAGAATATTAGCTCTTCATTTCTTGACGTTCTTCTGGCTATCCTTTTTCATTCGCTTTTTAGGTTACCTTTGGAATCTTGTCACGAAGTAAGTTTATTACTATCCTAATTTTCATTGATTGTTCTGCACGCTTTGTTATTTAGTCTGTTTATGTCAGGGTTTTGGTGAAATTACTCAATAGCTAGCTTGTACAATCGT